TATGGCTGAGGGGTTGGAGCGGGTTAAAGGACATCAACGGCAGACACCATGTCTTGAGAAATATGAAAATTTTCACACCCAAATGAAAGATGTCGTTGGTAAAAGGAGTGAGAAGAAATTGCAAATGAAATTGATGGAAATTGATATGGGACGGAGAAATAAAAAAACTACAAATGGCTAAGAAAAAACATTGAAGGCTTGAAAAACAAAAGACTCTAAGGTTAAATAGGGATAGTTCAGTTTTAAAGGTTATTTCGCCATTATACGAAATGGGAATAAAATATAGGAGTTATTTCATTTGTCTTCAGGTTCATTTGACAACAGGTTCAGCCAAAGGGTTTTTCAAAAATTCAGCTCTAAAAATGTATGGAGTCCTTAACCACAAGCCTTAACATTATATTTAACTTATCACCTTCTTTTATTTAACTTTTTATAAGGAACTTTTCCCCATTCTTCTGTATAAAAATACATTCTCAACCACTTACCACGATAACCAAAAAAAAGAAGAAAACAATAAAATCCTAGACATTAAACTTCAATTTGGCCTGGAACACTGAAAATGTTACAAACACAACAAGAACGGAGGTCCTGCGGCCATGAAGAAGAATAGAGCGGAAGCAATGGTTGAAATTGAAGAGGAAGCAGCACAGGAAGAACTTGCATTTTATGCATTAATTCAAAAATCGTGTTCAGTTGAGAGAGCAAACCGCAGTAAGCTCTTTTACGGCACTCCCATTTCTCCGTTCCCTCCAAAATTCTCCTTCCAGAGCTCCCCGAAAACCCGCAAGTTACATGGGGGAACCACCGAAAAAGTTGGCAACTCTGCCTGGGGTTGCCTCACATGTGCTGTTGTTTTTGTATGTGAGTGAAAACGCAACCAAAAAGGATCTAAACTGCTTTAGCCCTCTGCCCCCTTTGTCTCCAAATTTTTTATTTCTTTACCTCTAGGCTGTTTTTACACCTGGCGCAAAACTTGAAGAACTTTCAGAACTTCTACTTAAACTTTAAGTTAAAGAGTTTAAAAAAAAATGTTAAAAAAATTACCAGAGTACTGTGGCAAAGTATGAAGAATGAGTAAGAAGTAGTAAGTTGAATAAAGAAGAGAATACGAATAAAAAGGGTGAACAAAAAGTTTATCCAAAGCACGCAACTTGAATATTATGTGCAAAAATATTTGCGACGAATTAAAAAGTAAAAGAAGAAGAGGAGTCCAAAAAAGGACAACTATAGGAGGTGCCCAAAGTGTAGAAAAAGAGGAGCACAGGATATAGCAACTTTGAGGGCTGTGAAGGAAGAGTGAGATAGAAGAAGAGCGCACATTCCAGCACGTATGCCAAGCAATTATCCTACAGGAATTTCTTAATTTTCCCGTTAGGTTTTCATACCAGGAAGGCAAAGAAAAACTAGAAGCTGAAGAAGAACAAGCAGTAGCGGAAATAAGAGGAAGCGCCTCAGACTAGGCAAATTATATTCTTAGAAAAACTCAAACTTAAAAAAAGTTGGTAGACATCAACAAAGCACGCAAACTTATTAGAAGAAATATGGATAGAAACCAAAAGATGTTTTAAGAAACAAAAAAAAAACAATTTAAGATATGAAAGGCAAAGAGAAAGGACTTTTAACTCCGCCTTTAGTTAATGTTTTGAAACAGTAACTAAAGAAAATAAGGATTTAATATTTTCTAAGCCCGGCAGACTATTTATGTTTTTTATAAACATTTTTTTTAAAGATCCTTGAGTCGGGTATTTAAATTTTAGGAAAACATTTTTTGGAGCTATTTTTAAGATGTGGTCTTTACGTTCTCGATCTGGGTTGAAAGACTGTAAATTATAGGATCATATATGTAATAAACGTAGTAATTAAGAACTTATATTTTTTTAAAGGCTAAAGATTTTATATTATTTGTTTTCATAAATATTTTCATTTGAAAAATAATAATAATTACTTTTAAAGTAGAATAGTTTTCAGAAAACTGTACGCCCAAATAAAAGGTACCAAAATATGTTTTGGCAACAAAGCTAATGTCAAAAAAAAACGAGGAACTCCCGAATGAGGCGGGGAAAGGACATGTAGCCCAGAAGGAGGAGGAGTTGCCCAGGAGTCCAGAAGTGACAGACAGAGGGCACAGGACTCCGCGACGTGTCAGCAGCTTTTTTGCCATGTCCTTGCTTCTGGCTTCCAGTATTTTTTTGTTTGTTTTGCCTGTAGCTGGTGTTCCTGAGTTTTTGCTGTAAATATCATTAAGTCCGCGTACGTGCCAAATGGCAGTTTAATTATAGCAAGGAGTCGAAACAGAAACCATTCCACATAACCCAAGCAAACTTCGGAGGATCGAGGATGTTAAAATGGAAAGACTCCATTACCCTGAAGTTTGGGGAGCATTTTGCAATTAAAATAGATATAACATTAAAACTTGTTTTTTTTTTCTTTACCAAAAAACTATAAAAAGAACAACGAAAAAATTAAAATTTTCATTTGGCTGCGTTTTAATGAGCAGCGGATGGAAAAGGAGTTTTTTTCGAGGCAGGATGCTACGAGCTATACGTGTGAATTATTAGAGCCAAAGTTAATGAAGCCGTCAAGTGAAGCGAGTTGGCGACGAGGAAGGAAGAAAATTTAAAAGAAGCTCCTGTTTGACAAGTTGATTAGATGGCAAAAATATTTTTTTATAAAATGGGGAAAGGTGGGACGAGTTTTACTCCTTAACAGTTGTATACAAGATTTTTAACTACGTTTTTGGAGACTTTCAATGCAAAACCTACAGAAAAGCACAAAGTGAAACTTCAACTTCGATATTGCAGAAATTTAAGAGTCTTACCCAATTTAATGAAGAGTCAAGTAAGAACTTCCACAAAATAAGACGAAATTGCTTAAATGAATGGAGTAATTTCCCAAATTAGTAAAGAATGGATAGCTCCTGAGCTTTCTTAACTTTTCTGTTCATTTTTCTCACTTCTACATAAATTATTATCATTCTCCCAATGACTTTACGCATAGTCCCCATTCGCGTTTGTCCCCTTTTCCCCCATTAAAGTTGAAGTGTTTCCGTCGCAGTTTTCCCTTGAAATTTCAAGGGTTCTCCTGGTGCATTCGTAAAAACTTTTTCTCAGCACCGGCACCTCCTCTTCACACTTGATCCCCCGCCGTTGCACTTTTGCTGGCAAACTCCTTGCAACTATTATTATCAACTATTATTTTGTCTAGTTAACTGTTCGAAAAAGAGGAGCTTAAGTGATGTTGCCACACTTTGGGGCACGAACCCAAAACCGCCCTCTTTTGCCAGGAGCCACTGTTCCTGGGGCACAAACACACACTTGGAACACCCCATCCTAGTCTGTTGCCCAATTTGCGTAAACATTTATTACGCACTCCAAGGGAAACTTTTCTCGAATTATTTTCTCTTAACTATTCTGGTGCGCTTTGGGGGGTTAAGGCTTGGGGGATGTTGGGTTAAGGAGGGGACAGGCAGGCGTAACTGCTGGTGGGCGTGTCCATTATGCTGTGCATAATTTTATGATGATAATTAATTTCATGTTTGCCACTGCTGCAAAATGAGTCCTGCGGCTAATCGGTCTGCAAATTGTAGAATTGCAATGAAAATGGCTTGGAAACTATTAGGTGGGTTCCTCTTACACAATTCATAATTATTTTAATCCGATAAATAGAAGAATTCGTGGGGTATTATTTTATTTACATTGCCTTCTAATGGAACTCGTTGAATGGATAGAATAGCAGCCTTTTAACAATGATGTTCCAGCAATTTTTGTTTCAACTTTTCTGAAGGTGCGTCCGTGGTCTTTTTTCCCTATTTTTTAGGGCAGGGCTTGAAAGGAGAGAAGATTTCTAAGCGTCCTTCTTTTCCTTTCCATTTTGCGGTTAAAACTTGCTGAGATTTTGTCTTTTGATTTCATCTGTCGCCAGCGCTACCAAATTGCCGCTTTCCCAACCCTTTTCCTTAGCTAATTTAACCCCCAAAACTTGGTTCAAGATCACCCTTAGTTCTTTGCCTTTCCCCTTTTTCTTCGATTTAATAGCCCACGGAACTTTAACCACTTCAATCTCCGATTTATCCACGAACTCGAGTTTGCCGTTCGCCATTTTTGCATTTCCCTCTTTTTTCCACCCATTTCCATGCATCGAGTTTTATCGCTCAATGCTCATTATTTGCTTTTGTTGTTTTTGCCAACTATTTTCAAAGTAATTCCCTGAGTTTTGTTGTTCGATTTTTCTTGCCTCCAACACAAAGTTTCTTCAGGCAATGTGAGAGGTGGGTGAGCTTCCCTTGGGCGTTGGTTTTTCGCTGACTAGGGTTAGCTCTTGATTTTCTCTGGATTTTCTTATTTTTGCCAAATTTTTTTATTGTTATTGTATTCGCCACAACTGTTGCCACAATTTGAACTTTGTTTGCTGCGGCTTTCATTCCTGATTCCCTTCTTTTCCTTGATTGGAAATATTTTTCGTATATTTGCATGTTTCGGGGCAAGAAGGATTCAACGAAAAGAAATGCAAATAATATTTGTATGATTTATTTGAACAATTTTAAATGATTTTTTTTGAGAGTTTTTCATGACCTTTAACTTTTGCTGGTAAAAGTAAAGGGTTGTCTAAAAAAGGCAAGCAAAATTATAATGAGAAGAAGGAAAATGAAAAGTCTATAACCCTTAGCAACGCTTATTGAGGTGGGAGTTTTGTAATATAGGGATTCTAAAGCTGGCAAAGCATCGATAGTAGTATCGAAAATATAAATTTGCTTTTAAAGATTTTTTATTGAAAATCTACTGTTTTTAAAACTATTTTTCATTTTAGTTGAATTGAATTTAAGTTGAATTGCTTCTATTAAAAATGTTTATCTTAAATTTTTTATTCACTGCATTAATTTTTAGTAAAGTATAAAAAAACCGTTCACATATCGATAGTTTCAATATCTTTATTATTCGCCTTCAATGATTGGCCAGCTCTAGGTTTATTCTATATTTGCTTTATTTCTATAAAAATCTTACCCAATAATAGTCCACAGGTTGGTTTAGAAAACTTACCTAAAACGAGAAGAAAAATGTATGAAAAACATTAGTTAAACTGGTAAAAAAGAATATTTACAAACATAAGCACAACCTGGCATTGAAGATAATTCTAAAAGCCAACAAGCAATTTCTTGTGAATGTAAATAAAATATATATAAATCATTTTCAGTCACCATAGTAAAAATAAATATAATTCAAACAAGATAAATCAATTTAATCTCTCAATTGATTCTGACCGACTTGCACACTCTCTCCTTTAACCCAATCTTGGCTGTCTGTGGGTGAGCAAACAATTTGTACCCTTCACCTGTGCGAAAACAGCTGGCACAAGTCCTGTGAATCGGGTGCTCAAGCTCACTTTTTCACTTCCCACTCACATATGGCCAACATATGGCAGAAGAATGAAAGAAAGAACGCAGCCACGGAAGCTTTAAATTACATCAAAGATTTACACGTAGAAGAAAGGAAAAAAAAACGGGACAAGGAAAAGTCCTTCGAAGAAGTGTCTGTGCAAGATGAAAAATAAATAACAATCACACAAAAATCAATATTGACAAAGGAAGGGTGGGCAAGGCGATTTAATGCCCGTCTGGCAGCTAAAAAAAAAAATAATATAAAACCAAACAAGTAGGCGTGGCTTTCGGTCCATATGGCGCCGCTGCGAAACTTACCCGGAAAATATGTACAAAAAAGAAAATAATATTCGGGAAAAACACTACAACACCTAAAAACACAACTTTTTTAATCAAGTGTCAACTGAAATCGAAAACTTCCACTTTGCACACCGTTTTGCAGGCAGCCTAATGACAAGTTTATTTGTTATTTGGCCGATTTCCCGAACAGCTGTTGCACCCTCACACAGATACAGCCGCACCCACACAGCGACAGAGCGTGGTGAATATGGTTTTTGTTGCCTGGTTTTTAGCGCACGCACATTCAGCTCGAAACGATGTCGGATGCTGACTGAGAGCCAAGTTGGCAAAAAGTGTCCAAGACCGACCGCCATGATTGAAAGCCGGCTGTGTGGCTGTGTGGCAGCAAAAAGTTCTCCTGGGAGTGGGTGGCACGGGTACACACTATATAGGGGGTAGTTCTTTTGGGAGGGGCTCTATAGGGTGGGCGAACTGGACACAACCTGTTGAGCAACAAGGACGAGAAACGAGTCGAAATCGAATGGATGGCAATGACAATGTCATTGAAAGGGACTTTGCCTCTGCATTCGACCATGAAAAAACGGAGGGTGGTTTTTGGGGTAAAAAGGAAAATAAGAAGGAGTAGCTCACTAAAGAAGAGGGAACTATGGGGGGCGCCCCCCCAAAAAAACCAAAAGAAAACGGCCGGAGAGAACTTGGTTAAGCAACGAAATGAGTGGCACAGACAATGCCAACTGTCATCGGGATATCAATTTTTTCCTTTTTTTATTCTCTGTTTTCGAACGGATATGAAGCTGACAGTCAATTAATAAACGTTCGACACTTGGCCGCCAGAGGGCGTTAGCCATAGTCGCTTCCTTTCACTTTCTTCTGCTTTCTCCTCGTTCTTTGTGTTTTTTTTATCGCTGTGTGGGCGGCATTTGCGTCAGAGCTTCCTCGCAATTAACATTCTGTAAAAGTTTTTGTTTTTTCCCTCACGGTTTCTAGGAAATTGTAAAAAAAACACAGCTGTTTTGGTGTTAACAGGTGGCTGGGTTTTATTTAAACTATTTTAAAAGTAAAATACTTAGAAAGCCATGAATTGCTTTTAATTTTGGGGTGTGCATGGCCATTCTTTGCCACAATTTGATGGATTAAGGAATCTCAGAGTTACAAGCGAAAATGTAAAAATAGAAAACACTTCTTTCAAAAAGGGTTAATAAAACTCTTGACTTGCAAGTATTATTGATTTGAAATTGATTGATGAGGTGGCTATAAAAATGTGAGAAAAAATATTTATATACATTTTTTTTATGTTATTAAAAATTTAATTTACTCGTATATGTACACATGTAGCGGTTTGTTTTTATGTCTGTTGGGAAACCAGATTCCATGATTAATTAATTATCAATATAATATGAAAGGAAGCAAAGGAAATTTAATTTCATTATTTTTCTGACTCTGTGTTGTCCTCTAATTCAGTCCCTAAGCTATACTATCTTCCATTTAAAACGCATCCATCATAGCCGGCTTAGTCACCAACAGCTGCCCTCATAAACGAGTCGCACATTTGTCACACATTTTAATCTAATTAGGGCTCCCCCCGGATCGCACCACCCCAATCTCTCTGCCAAAAACATGCAAATCAAACGAAAAAGTTGGCAAATCTCTCTTCTTTTTTTCTCACCCTGGTGCTCACTCCCTAAACACTCGTTATCATTAGCTAACAATACGACAAAAGCCAAAAAAAAACTATTCCCAAAACATATGTCAAATAATAAAATAAAAACCAATCAGCAACAGCTGCAGGGCATTAACAAAGTGAGAAAAGAGATGGGTGGATTACGAGGAGAAAGAGACATAAGAGCGGAAAGAACAGGGACAAATGCACAAATTAGTTTGGCCAAATGAGCAAAATCAAATTCGCATTGCCAGCCACAAGAAATGTTCCACAGAATATAAAAGGAGGATAACAATGGTGTGGTGGGGAGTTGAGGTTGAGGGAAAATAGAGGAAAATGGAGAGGGCGAAATTCAGTGGTTTAGAACAGTCAACAAATGAATCTCCAAGCCACCAAAGGCATCCCATAAAGTTTTCTTCTTGCTGTTTAATAGTGAAACTTTATTTCCGTTCACTACACAGTGAAAAAGTATTAAAAATTATTGTTCACATATGAAAATGTTAATTAAGTTTATATGAACATTTTCTTCGATTTAATATTCTATTCAATTCGCAATCGATTGGCATATACAAATTATTTCTTAATTATAAACCTAATTTTTCTAACAATAAAATTATTTAGTTTGTGAATTATAAATTTATTGTGAAATTTTGTTTAGTTATATGTTAAATAGTATTTTATTCAAGTGTAGTTTCTATCCCATTTTACCAATCTCCTTTCTCTTTCTTCGCCCACTCGTTTGGTTCAACTGCTAAAGAATTTTTCACTTCCGGTTGAAGGCAGAGGAGCGTGGCGAACATTTTGCACCGAGCGTTGGCTCTTCTAAATGTCAAGGATACCACAATAACGGCAGCAGCAACAACACTGCCAGCAATCAAGGAGGCTCAGAGGATGAGGAAGGAAGAAGCAGAAGCGGATCCAGCAGCGGTGGCAAGGACAAAACGGCAACGTTGTCGCCGCCATCGAGAGAATGCTGTAATTAATTATTGTGGCGCTCACACACATTGCGGCATGGCCGAGAATACAAAATGGCTACTTTGTTGACAATTCTTAGAGGGCGCTGTAATGACTGTAAGAGGCGGAAAATCCAAGGGGGAGGGGTTGAAGCTGTAGGGAATTTACGTGTGTTGGTATGCAGCCAGTTAGTTGGATAGTAAAAGATCGATTGCTAATGCTCAATACAATTGATTGTTCATTCGGCATTAGAACTAATGCACGAAAGTATGCTATTTAATTTGAAATATTGTTTTTTAAGGGATTATCCGTTTTGTATACAAGCATAAGTATTTGAATAAATAAGTATATATTAATAAAGCTCTCTCTTATAGGCCCCTTTTAAGGAGATTTGAAATCTCTAGAGATTTATTTGCGTTCAGTTTGTTTAAACTTTACACATACATTCATATATACAAATTTCTATTAAAATAAGATCAAAATGTAAATGTCTAAATATATTATCTTAATTATTATTAGCTCTCATATAGTCTACAAATTTAACCAAGCATAGTACAGTGACTTTTACAAAAGGAATTTACAAAAAAACTGAGTTGAATTAATTATCCTTGCTCTTTTATCATTATCAACGAAAAAAAAAGTCCGAATTAATTCTCCGTATCACTAGAGTTCACGGAGGTCACATAAAGACCCACACACTCACGAAAATCTCCCCTCTCACGGAATCTATTGCGGAATGTTTTATTATATTTCTTTCGCTGCTATTGTTGTTCTTCTATTTATAAATGACAAACGCAGAAATTTTCCCTGCATGGCGCCAAATGCCATCAATCAAACCAACAACAAAATACACGGCATTACGACACAAAACGAAATTCCCCAAAAAAAAAAAAAAAAAAATAAGGTAGACGGAAAAAATGCAAATACCCAAAAACAGACGACAAATGACAAAAGGGGGAAAAAACGGATTCCAGCGAATGCCATGACAACTGAAGACTGACAAGGAGTTCCAGACCAGGACTTGTCCGCTAAGCTTGTGGATTCCAGGACATCCAGAGATACGTATACATAACAGGCAGTCTGTAAATTAAAAACGTTTAAAATGCGTGCTGCATACTTTTTGGCTGTCTGGCAGACGAGGGATGTCAGTGAAGTTTGTTGCTCCCACGGCAAAAACTTTCTGCAACATGTGTGTGTAGTAAACTTCGTTTCTCAAAGCTAGTCTTCTCCTTTGTTCAAGCGGTAGGGAAAATAAAATATATATATGTATAAAAATAAGAAGAGTAGAAATCTGACAGGCAAATGCGTCGCTCATTAAGCCAGACACACTTACACACAAGCAGCTTAAGATGTCAGCCAAGACACAGTTGGTCCACGAAGAAGGCAAAAAATAATTCCAAGGACCAGGACAGCAAGTTCAGGACCACAATCAGGACCAAGCTGGCGCTTCGAGTTAATTGAATTCTGCGTAGTTTAAGTTATACGACACAGTCATAAACTTGGACTCATATGCGTAAAACTCAAAGTTTTTTGCTCTTCCCCAGCTTTCGGTTATTTATGCGGTGCGTGCACGCACTTTATGAAAGTTGAGTTATGGGGGTTAAGGTCTGTGGGAAAGGGGAACGGCTTTTAGTGCCATCTATGGAACCATAAATGGTCGTGCCGCGGCACTTAAAGTGCTTTATTATACAGGCAGAAACATGAAGTAGGACTTGGTCGAATGGGGAAATTGGGAAGAGTAGTTTTCA